GCAAGTTTGCTGGCAGCCGGGGCTACTTATCAAGACTCTCAAAACAGAAACGTTGAGGAGACTCAGAGCAGGCAATTGCCTGCAGTTCAGTCCCCAGCTCTGACCAAAAACAACAAGTCACAGGCCTTAAAGCCAGCAGTCACACACTAGCTTTGTCAAGATGGCACACTAAGGGCAGGTATGGCATGGAAACTACAGTGGCTGGGTACAGACTGAGGCTCCATGGGGGGATTCCTGAGGCCATGTTTGTAGAAGTTGTGTATTCCTTCATGAAACAGCAGGAGAATGAGATTGAAGACAGAGAACCAGGAAGCTAGAAGAGCAATATCTAAAATGTAAACAGCCCGAGAACAAGATTATAGACACAGAACCAGGAAGCTGGAAGAGCAATGTCTAAAGTTTAAGTTTATGGAACTTGCCTTGCCCAGAAGAAAAGGAGTGCAGCAATTCAAGTGTGACAGGATCTTCCTGCAAGATAGTCTGCACCTCAAAACCTCAGTTTCCTCCTAAAATGTAAATTGCTGGGTAAGAATTTTCTGATTGCCTAAGAATCTTGAGTCTCTTGAGGAAGACTTTGACTTTCTTCAAGAACTACTTACTACTGCAGAAGTCAGTGTGACCAGGGTTTCCAACTGGAATGAAAAAAGAAGATAGAAAGAGACCTGAGAGCAAACAGGAAAAAAAATGGTACCTCCTGAAACTGAGAAGCCTATGTAAAGCAAAGGACACCGTCAACAAGACAAAATGGCAGCCTACAGAATGGAAAAAGATCTTTACCAGCCCCACATCTGACAGAGAACTAATCTCCAAAATATACAAAGAACTCAAGAAAGATATCAAAAGACCAAATAATCCAATTTTAAAAATGGGGTACAGATCCAAACAGAGAATTCTCAACAGAGGATTCTCAAATGGCCAAAAGACACTTAAGGAAATACTCAACATCCTTAGTAATCAGAAAAATGCAAATCAAAAGAACATCTTACATATGTCAGAATGGCCAAGATCAAAAACTCTGACTCCTCCATTGCTGGTGGGAGTGCAAACTTATACTGCCACTTTAGAAATCAGTATGGTGGTTTCTCAGAAAATTGAGAATCAGTCTATCTCAAGACCCAGCAATACCACTTTTGGGCATATACCCAAAAGATGCACACTCACACCACAAGTACACTTGCTCAACTATGTTCATAGCAGCATTATGCATAAGAACCAGAACCTGGAAACAACCTAGATGCCCCTCAACTGAAGAATGGATAAAGAAAATGTGGTACATTTACACAATGGAGTACTACTCAGCAGTAAAAAACAATTCTGAAATCTGCAGGCAAATAGACAGAACTAGAAAAAAACATTCTGAGTGAGGTAACCCAGACCCAGAAAGATAAATACAATATGTACTCACTCATAAGTGGATATTAGACATAAAGCAAAGGACAACCAGCCTACAGGCCATAACCCCAGAGAATCTAGGTAACAAAAAGGACCCTAAGAGAGACATATGTGGATTCACCTAGGAAGGGGAACAAGACAGGAACTCCTGAGTAAATTGGGAGGGGGCAGGGAGAGGGTGAAAGGGGAGAGGGGAGGAGGGAAGGGGAGTGGGGAGAAAATGTATAGTCAATTAAAAAAAAACAAGAGAGAGAGAGAGAGAGAGAGAGAGAGAGAGAGAGAGAGAGGTTGTGATGCTATTCTTGGTTGTCAGCTTGACCATATCTGAAATTAATTGAAACCCAAGCAGCTAGGCATACCTGGGAGGGATTTTTTTTCTTAATTAAATCATTTGAAGTGGGAAGAGCCACTTTTAGTCTGGATGTTTTGAGGAGGGAAGATCCACCTTTAATCTGGGCCACGCCTACATGTAGGGCTTGGAAGAAGGAAGCCTTTCTCTGCCCCTTGCTCTCAATCTCACCTGCAAGTCCATTCCTTCCCTGGCATTGGAGTCTATTTCTTCAGGATTCTGGCATATACTGAAGACTAGATGAGACATCCAACCTTGTGAACTGAACCATTATTGGATTCTTGGACCTTCCATTGGTAGACAGCCATTGTTGGACTAGCTGGATCACCACCTGTAAGCCATTCTGATAAATCCCCTTTGCATATATCTGATCAGTTCTGTTCCTCTAGAGAAAACTGGCTAATACAGAAGTTCTACCTGGAATAAGGCATAATGCTGAAAAGCTTTTGTTTTTTGTTTTCTGAGACAGGGTTTCTCTGCGTAGCTTTGGAGCCTGTCCTGGAACTTACTCTGTAGACCTCGAACTCACAGAGATCTGACTGTCTCTGCCTCCCGAGTGCTGGGATTAAAGGTGTGCCCCCCCCCCCCCCAGCCATAATGTTGGAAATTTAAAATGTGGTTTGGTGGTCTTCCAACATGAAAAGGTCATTGCGCTCTTGAATTCTGCAGCTGTGGTCTCCTACACAAGACCTGCACAAAGCCGGGCCCACCAACATTCTGCCATGGAGTAGGGAGGTGTTTAGAAGGCCTTTTTCCTTCCTGAGAATAGATAGGCAGTTAATAATTGCTAACGGGGAGCAGCTCATGGAGCTTCACTCCTCCTTGAGACTCTGTAGGTAGTTAATGATTGCCTGGAGAGGAAGGGACTCTTTTTGTTTTCCGGTAGTGTAGCCACTGGTAAGGCACCCGTGGTTCTGTAAATAACCCCTCACCCATGTTCCTGTAAACAATCCCAATGAAACTCATTTCACACACACATGCAAAAAAAAAAAAAAGTCATGACAGTGCTTGAGGATGGCTCAGGTGTTAGGAGCATTATTTACTTTTGCCATGAGCCAGGATGAAGTTCCAACACCTACATGAAGGCTCAGAACTGCCTGAATCTCTTTCCAGGGGATCTGGTGCCTTTTTCTGACCTCTGCCAACACCAGGCATGTGTATGGTGCACACACATCCATGCAACAAAACATTAGTACACATAAAAAAAAAAAAAAAAGACATAACAGGCTGGGTGGTAGTGGCACACACCTTTAATCCCAGCAGAGACAGTCGGACCTCTGTGAGTTCGAGGCCAACCTGGTCTAAAGTGAGTTCCAGGACAAGCTCCAAAGCTACAGAGAAGTCCTTATCTTGAAAATCCAAAAAGAAAAAAAAAAGAAAGACATAACAGAAGAGAGACCAGAGCGAGGAAACAAGGAACTGGGTAGAGGGAGCAAGAGAACGTAATGGGGATTGAATATAATCAAAACACATTTATCGACATGTCTGAAAATGTTATAATGAAACCCATTATTATCTATAATTAGCATATGCTAATAAAAAAGCTTTAAAATGGGACTGGAGGGATTGCTCAGTGATTAAGAATGCTTCCTGCTCTTCCAGAGGACCTTAATTCATTTCCCAGAACCCACCTCTGCTAGCTCACAAGCATGTGGGTGCTGCTAATTGAGCCTGGTCCTCTGAAAGAGCAGTCAGTGATGAGCTTAACTGCTGAGCCATCTCCCCAGCCCCACATTGGGAGCTTTTAAATTCATGATAAGCTATATAGGAATTGTCAAATCTTAGCAAAGCCAATGGTTGGGTGTCAGAAGTACATGGTGAGTGATATATGTTCTGAAAAAAAGACACAAGCGTGCCACTCCTTAGGAAGTACTGAAAAGTATGCTTGAATGATAGTTTCTGCTGAATTTTCATGTTATCATGAAACAATGATAACAAAGGTCAAGGAACCCATCTTCTAAAACGAGATCTGGAAATTAGATTAAGAACTCAAGTGGATCTGGGAGGAGAGGGACTACTTATCATTTGAGTTCAGTGTGAGTTATAATTCTCAATGTATTAAGAATATAATTATCACAGAAACTATCTATCTGCTGCCTGCCACAGTGAAACGCCACAGTGTAGACATTTTCCTGAGGGCTTCAGTTATTGCCAGAGTGACATGAGTAACACAATTCATGCTGATGGAAAATTTTGTGTGTATCCTGAATGAAAACAGGCCCTCCAGCACAGAGGAAGGCCCACGTGCATCCAACACTTGTGCGCCCAAGTCTGACATTCCCCCCACCTTACTAATTGCCGGTCCCCATCTGTACTGTTCATTCAGGTCAAGGAAGCTGACCTGCTGAGTAATGGCTCAGTCATGACTTTTAATACCTCTGCTTCGACACATCTGTATGAAATCCAGCAGCTGCAAGCCCTGGCTAATTACAGCATCGGTGTGTCCTGTCGGAACGAAATTGGCTGGTCTGCAGTGAGCCCTTGGATTCTGGCCAGCACGACAGAAGGAGGTAATTCCTGAGACACACAATGAACATTTCCCCCCAATAGCGTGTAATCGGGCAAGCTCTTCCCAATAGCTGATGTTGTGTACACTCTTATTTGGTGCATTTACTGGGGCGGCCAATAAGATAGGAAAGAAAATAGTTTCTTAGTAATTTAACAGGGTTAGTTTAAAAAAAAATACAAAAATAAAACCAAAAATCCTTATCTGTGCTATATGCAGATAACGTTTTCTTTCACATGGAAAGACAGTGGCACCAATTTTTTTCCCTTTCTTTTTCTTTCTTTTTCCCTTTTTTTTTTTTTTTTTTTTTTTTTTTTTTTTTTTTTTTTTTTAGTTTTTCGAGTCAAGGTTTCTCTGTATAACAGTCCTCACTGTCTTGGAACTCACTTTGGAGACCAGGCTGGCCTGGAAATCACTGAGATCCACCTGACTCTGCCTCCAGAGTGGTGGGATTAAATTAAAGGTGTTTGCCACCAGCGCCCAGCTAGTGGCAGCATTCTTAGAGCCACTGTTATTTTCAATTAGCATGCAGTGCACATCGTTATTATTTATAGCAGACAACCAAGTTTGGTTTTGTTTTTTGTTTTGTTGTTGTTTTTTGTTTTTGTTTTTTCAAGACAGTGTTTCTCTGTGTAATAGTCCTGGCTGTCCTGGAACTCACTTTGTAGACCAGTCTGGCCTTGAACTCACAGAGATCCGCCTGCCTCTGCCTCCCGAGTGCTGGAATTAAAGATGTGCACTGACACACCCAGGTTGAAAATGTCATTTTTTAATTAAATAAAATTCTGACTTCACAGTTGTCTGGAGGGTGTCCTAGTTAGGTTGTTTGTTTGAGAATTGTCTCACTATATGGTCTTGGCTGGCCTTGAACTCGTAGGTAGTCCAGATTGACCTCGAACTCTTAGAGACCCTCCTGTCTCAGCCAGCAGTGGTTCCTTCCTCCATGGTTTCTGCTGGAGGTTCCTGCCATAATGTCCCTCAACAACGGGTTGTGACCTGGAAGTATAAGATAAGATGGACCCTTCCCTCTGCCAAGTTGCTTTGGTAGTGATGTTTATTACAGCAGCAAAAAAGTAAAATCGTTTTTAGTTGTTTTTGTTTTTAAAGAGACGGGGAGGGGAGATCTTGTTTTCCCTTTTAGTGTATTATAATGTTCCACTGTTTTTCTTGCTTTGTTTCCAATGTAATGTTGATGGCAAACTTGATTTTGGTTTTCTGTGTGTAAGATGTACTTTGTCCCCATTTCCCTGCTTAGTGCTGATTTTGAATAATTTAACAACTGTATACTTTAGCTTCATTTTACTAATATTCCTTGTGCTTGAAGGCCATTGGACTTCTTACTCTTGTGTTTGTAGTTTGTTGCACATTTGAGAAAATTTGGGCTACCATCTTGCCCTCAAACTTTTGGAGACCAAATCTAGGACCTGGCAAATATTATACAATATTCTTATTACTAAGCTACACATTGCCACTCCTCATATATTTTTGTACTTTTAACCTCTCCTCTCTATTAAGGACTTCAGCTATATGCACAACAGACCATTAGAATTCCCATAATTCAATGATGCTCTGTTAATCCCTCCCCTTTTTCTCTCATTTTTCCTTTGGAAAGTTTCTATTGTTATGTCTTCTGATTCAGTAATCCTACCTTGTTCTTAATAATCTTATTTTGTTCTTAGTAATCTTACCCTGTTCTTAGTAATCTCACCTAACCTGCTACTAATCCTAACTAGTTTTTATCTCTCATGCTGTGATATATTTCATGCCTAAACTTGTAACACAAATAATAAAAACCCAGAGACTGATATAGGGGTTCAAGATAAAGATCAGAAAAGCAAAGCAGCCAGGCCACTATCTCTTACCTCTACCTCAGACCAAAATGGGTGATCCTGTCTCCACGAATTCTCAGAGTACAATGCTGACTGCACTGCTCTCCACCAAGCCTCAGACTTCAATCCTCTGAGTTCCTGTCTCCTCCTTCCTAGAGCTGGGATTAAAGGTGCATGATTCCAAATGTTAGAATCACCTTTGTGTGAGCTATTTCTTTTTTAGACTGGATTGATTTCTTGTAGTTCAGTTTGGCCTTGAACTAACATAGACACATCTGTCTGTCCCTCAAGTGCTGGAATTAAAGGTGTGTACCACCACTGCCTAGCCTCTGTGGCTAGCTAGTATGGCTGCTGGGATTTAAGGTGTGTACCACCACTGCCTGGCTCTATGGCCGTGGCTAGCTTTGCATTTTGATCTCCAGTGACTTTATTAAATCATAAACAATATGTCACCACATAAACTTTTAGATCATATAGAATATAGTTAGGATAGTTGCTTATTCTGACATCTATCTGGGGTGATTTCTTAGTATCTTAGCATTCTGGCTAGTTTTTATGTCAATTTAATACAAGAGAAAGTCATCTGAGAGGAGGGAGCCTTAATTAAGAAAATGCATTCATAAGATTAGGCTGTAGGCCAGCCAGCAGGGCATTTTCTTAATTGGTGATCAATGCAGGAGGGTCCAGCCCGTTGTAGGTGGGGCCATCCTTGGGCTAGGGGTCCTGGGTTCTATAAGAAAGCAGGTTTGAGCAAGCCATTTGAGCAAGCCAGTAAGCAGCACTCCTCCATGACCTCTGCATCAGGTCCTGCCAACAGGTCGTTCCCTACCTTGTTTTAGTTCTTGTCCTGACTTCCTTCAGTGATGGACTATGATGTGGAAGTGTAAACCAAATAAACCCGTTCCTCCCCAACTTACTTTTGGTCATGGTATTTCCTCATAGCAATAGTAACCGTAGCTAGGACACTTAGTATGGATAATCTTTTCATGGCTAGTATTGTTTGGTAATACCATAGAATTCTACCTTGTTGGAAGAATTTCCTCTAAGTAGTGAGCTTTATTTTAGGATACAGGTGAACCAATGGGAAATGATTTCTTCTTGTTGGGTACTGCTTTTAAGATTTGTTGAGCAAGATCACAGCATTGCTCAGAATAGCAATGTTATTAACTATTGTGGAGACAAGACCATTCTGTGTGAACTGGCCAATGACCTTGAGTCATAAGGGTTTCCAGTCTGATTGATGGGGTCAGCCTTATTCGAGGTCTGAGCTCTGATGCCCTGGAGTCATCACTGGAATTCTTTTGCCTTATGCCTCATGTTTATCTTTCTTGATTTATTTCCCAATTTTCATGGCACTTATTTATTTACTTGTTTGTTTGTGCATGTTTATTAGTGTGTGTGTGTGTGTGTGTGTGTGTGTGTGTGTGTGTGTGTGTCTGTGTCTGTGTCTGTGTCTGTGTGTGTGTGTGTATAGACCTGTGCCGTAGCATGTGTGTTGAGGTCAGAAGACAGCTTGCAGGAGTAAGTTCTTTCCTTAGACCTTGTGGGTTCTGAGGGTCAAACTCAGGTCAGCAGACTTGACCAAGAGCATCTTTACCTGTTACAGTCAGCATTTCACTGGGTTGAGCACATTCTTAAGTAGCTTCCCAAGAGAGTACCTGCAGAGGTAAAAACTGTGAGGACTTCTATGCCTTTGCTTCATACTTGGTTAGTCATTTTTCTGAATATAGATTATTAGGTTAGAAACCTCTCCTCCTCAAAATATTAGTTATTTCTGAGGTGTTTGTCTGTCTGGTGTTTTGGTTGCTGTGGGAGATTTTCTGCATGCACTGTTTTGTTTTTTCTTTGTTTTGCTTTGTTTTTAGAACGTCTCTTTTCTTTGGTCCTGGTGTTGTGATAGGCTGTGATGGAGAATGTGTGTCAGTCATCACTGTGGGTATCTAGTGACTTTTTTAGTCTAGAAGGTCAAGTCCTCCAGCCTTAAGCTTTTTCTTGCATATTTTTCCTTTGAATGTTTTCTGCTTTGTTTGTTTTCCTTGAAACTGTATGAGACATTTTTGGAACATCTTTGATTCCTTTCGTGATCTTCTTTCTCAAATAGACTTTATTCTTTGCCTTATTATTCTAGATTTTTGAGTATTTACTTCATTAATTTTCCAGCTCTTTTATTAAATATTGTTTTGCTAATCATGTTTCTAAATTCAAGTTTTCTTTTTCATTGGCTACTTTTCCTTTAGTTTCCTTTTCTTGTCTTTGTGCATATTAATTACTGTTTTGTTTTGTTTTAATTTCCATTCACTTGGTGGCTGACAACTGTGTGCATTTGTTCCCTGACATTCATGAAGGAGGTTAGTCTAGACTTTCACTGATCTCTCTTTTCTCTCTGAAGAGTTAGGAGCTGCAGTTGAGTGGAACTCCGTGAATGTGGATGAGACTTCGGGTGGATGGGACTTACAGGCTTCATTGTCTATTGATTGGATAATGGTGCATGGCTCTGTTTCAGATATCTCCTGATTTTCTTTCCTCTGCAAATACATCCATAAGAAGAGAAGTCTATTGTCTTACTGATGTAAGAAACAGGTCAAGGTGGCAGAAGAATCCTCTTCCTTTGGGGAACAAACTTGCTCTTACTTCTCTGGTCTTCAGACTTCTTACTATATCTCCAATGCATTTGTGCCCTAATGCCTACAGCTTTCAACTCAGAATACACCGCCATGTCTCCTGTGGAGATTTGGGGAATAACTTGCCAAGCATTGAGGAATAGGGTAGAGGTACCTCAACGATGAACCACCTCATAATCAAATGTCCAGTAATGCTTCCCAATCCTAGCCCCATTTAGTGCCTGGGCCCTCGACCTCTGAACCACTCTCTATGGTTCTTAGTGGGAAATAGGCTATCTCTTTTTCAGTGTTCACATATGTGTAGAAAGTTCTATTGGTTGATTCCTTTTGCCTTGTGAGTTTTATCTTTAAATCTGCTTTAACATTAGATAGAGAATTTCTGATATAAGCTCTTTTAACACCCCCCCCAAACACACACACAGTGGATCATTAAAAGGGTTTTCAGGAGAGTCAGACAGAAAGACCTGCTTCATTGGCTATGCTTACTCATAAATTCTACAGCAGATCTGAAAGTGTATAAATGATTTCACTGGCAGAGTTTTAGCTAGGTGGCATTTGCCAGGTGGAAATTCTTCTTAATTTCAAGAGTCCTGCCCATGTCCAACAATGGTGGCACATGTCTTCAATCCTAGCATTCAGGAAGCAGAAGCAGGTGAATCTCTGAGTCCAAGGGTAGCTTGGTCTACAAAACAAGTTCCAGGCAGCCAGGGCTTCACAGAGAAACTCTGTCTCAGGAAGGAAAAAAAAAAAGAAGGAGGAAGAGTTCTACCTGAGGATGCAGCAGAAATGAAGAGGGTTATGTCGGGGTATCTTTTTTGTTGTTATTTTTCCTTCAAAACTATCACAAATATATAATTTAATCTCTACAATTACAGGCAATAGTTTGGTATGTATTTTTCCTATTGATGTTACTTATTCCATACATAAAACATGATCTTTCAAAATTTATAACAGATTAATATGGGAGTTGGGAAGATAGCTCTGGTGGAGAGTTTACTGTGTTAAGTCCTTAGCACCCACATGACAAGCTAAACATGGTGATGTGTACATACAATCCTAGCACTTGGGAAGCAGAAACAGGCTGATCTCTGGGCTTGGTCATCCAGCCTAGATTAATTGGCAAACTCCAAGTCCTAGTAAGAGATCCTGTCTCAGAACAAACAGAAAAATGCAAGATGGGCAGCTCCTGAAAGATGACACCCAAGTTGACCTCTAGTGTCCATATGCATACATACATGTACACACACACACACAATATACACACATATTAAAATGGATTAATATGTACTGTTAACCATTTCCTCTACCCCATTGGTATAATGTTGTATTTTTGCTATTGTTGTTGAGTTTTTTCATATCAATATACAAATAGTGTACCTAACTCCTTCAGTAGCCACATAATAACTTTTCCATTGGGAAATGTATCCAAGTTTATGTTATAATTGCTGCCTGAGTGTAGGTGGAGTTTTCCCATCCCAGCAGCCACTTCCAAATTACCACACAGAGGCTTATATTAATTATAAACACTTGGCCGACAGCTCAGGCTTATTACAAACTAGCTCTTACATTTAAATTAACCCATTTCTATTAATCTATGTATTGTCGTGTGTCATGTCTTGTTCTCCCAGCAGCTGGCTGGCATCTCCCTGACTTCACCCTTCTTTCCAGCATCCTCAGTCTGATCTCCCCATTTATACTTTTTGCCTGGCTACCAGCCAATCAGTGTTTTATTAACAATGAGCATAATCCACAGCACCTGAGTATTGCATTTATTCCTTTTTTGTTGTTATGATGAGTATAATTCCATATGTAGATTAAATTATTGGAAATAAAATACTTAGTCAAAGAGCCAGGTGTGGTAGCACTATTGGAGGTGCATGATTTCAATCCCAGAATTCAGAAGACAGAGACAGGTAGATCTTGGTGAGTTTGAGGCCAGTGTGTTTTACCTAGTGAGATCCTCAGCCCTGAAAGATTGTCATACTGGTCTTGTTTCCTAAATTACTGTGTGTATGCACACACCACACATACTTGACTCTTTCTGCAGGCCCGGCATCCTCAAAATTCATGCAGCTGAGGATGAAAAGCATTTGAAAATCAGTTGCATCCATACTGAAAATGGAAGGGCTTTATCTCCCTTGTCATTATTCTCTAAGCAGGTTGTTTGTTTTGTTTTGTTTTGTTTTGCTTTGCTTTTTTTTTTTTTTTTTTTTTTTTTTTTTTTTTGACAGGGTTTCTCTGCATAGCCCTGGCTGTCCTAGAACTCACTCTATAGTCCAGGCTGACCTCAAACTCAGAGATCCACCTGCCTCTGCCTGCCTAGTGAGCTGCCACTGCCTGGCATATAAGAGATACCTTTATAACATTTACATTGTGTTAGATTTTATAAGTTATCCAAAGATGACTTAAAGCATGTGGGAGGACATAAGTCTCTGACACCTGGGAACTTTGGTACCTATAGGAAACCCTTGAAGATACTGAGAGATGACTATGCAGTCACTTCAGACTTACTGACTGGGTACCTCTGTCCAGACCAGTAACCTGCCTCTGAGCTCACCAGCATTCCCTGGCTTCCCATCCCAGAGCCACAAAGTTTGTCTTCATTCAGCCTTGTTCATTTCCAGCGCTACAGGAGGAACCCATGAGCACCCGCCTCCTTCTTCCCAGACTTCCTTATTGTTGTTAGCCTACCTGGGTGTTTATAACATTGCTAAAATAGCACTTGAATCTTGAGGATTGCTGGGCGTTGGTGGCTCACACCTTTAATCCCAGCACTCAGGAGACAGAGGCAGTAGATCTCTATGAGTTCGAGATCAGCCTGGTCTACAAGAGCTAGTTCCAGGACAGCCTCCAAAGCCACAGAGAAACTCTGTCTTGGGAAAAAAAACAAAAAAACAAACAAACAAAAAAAAAACTTGAGGATTTAGCCTCCCAAAACCCTTACTTGAAAAAACTTAGTTGGTAAGGTGCTTTCCCAGTGTGCATAAAGCTCTGTTTTTAAACCCATCACCACATAAAATGGGCACACAAAACTCCTGTGACATTTCAATGGTCCTTAATTGAAAAAAAAAAATGGATGAAAATGTACCATTAGTCTAGGTCTTTCATAGAACATTAGAAACACAAACACTTGATAATCAAGAAGAAAATAAACCTGTGTGGTATTTCCTTGTAGCTCTTCATCTTCCTCTCTTTCTCTTGTAGCTCCATCTGTAGCACCTTTAAACATCACTGTGTTTCTGAACGAATCTACCAATAGCGTGGAAATCAGATGGATGAAGCCTCCAATTAAGCGCCAGGATGGGGAACTGGTGGGCTACAGGATATCTCACATGTGGGAGAGTTCGGAGACTTCCGTAAGTCTGCACCTCAAAGCACACTTAGTCATTTCCTTTTGACTTGCCGATTGCATTCTGTTTCAGAAGCTTTCGTTTTGTGGGGATTATTTATGATTGAGCAAGGCAAGGCACCTTCCAACGGGACACAAGCAATGTAGCAATAATTAGAGATGACTAAACAGAATATTTTAAGGAGTCTTGGGGGATTTTCTCATTACCCCACTTACTCTTCATTAATTTATCAGCAGCAAAAAGGAACTTATTAGCCCGTGTTATCATGTGTCTCTTGTCTTCAGAGAATTTAGGCTATTATAGGAAAAGTGTACTGTGGACTATCCAGCGATCATAGCTTGCAGTCAGAGAGCTACAGGGCTTAGCATCCTGGCAATTTATAGCCTTGTGGAAATTTCTGAAGGTTCTTTCCTAAATAAGATTGTCATGGAACATTCTTAGCTTCATAGAGAATAGCAGAGAGTAAGCAGCCTCCAGAAAAGGGGGGATTTAGCAATCCTCTATCTATGGAAGGACCCAGCCCACCGTGGGCAGCACCATCCCTAGGCAGGTGGTCCTAGACTGTATAAGAAAACAACTACCTGAGCATAAGCCAGGAAACAAGCCACTAAGCAGCATCCTCCATGGTTTCTGCTTCAATTCCTGCCTGACTTCCCTCAGTGATGGTTTGTGACCTGGGAGTGTAAACCAAATAAACCCCCTTTCCGCCCCTCAAGTTGATTTTGGCCACAGTGTTTATCACAGCAACAGAAATCAGACTAGAGAAGGAGGATACACTGGTGTCACTAACTGGATTGACTCTTCCTTACCTTCCGTTACTGTGGTCATGGAAATTATGCCTCTTGAGTCATCATATCTCTGTTCCATCTTACCCTGTTTGTAGATCCCAAGTTAAACCTCTTTATTGCATGTATCTGGGACATCATGACACTTCTTGGCAAGAAAGAGGGACAGCTACAGCCCTACTCCAACCGTTGTTCCCTTCATTTCCAATTTAACATCATCCAGTGTTTATAAAAATTAATGTTTTCCAAAAGGACAATTGGGACTTGTTCTCTTTCTTTTCTGTAAGAAAATGGACTTCTGAAAACAGTAGGTATGGGATGGAAGAAAAAGACTAGGGCTGAGATGTCCATCTTGTTCTCCATCGTGTGAATGATAACCAAGTATCCATAGCAATCCTACGTGAGAAATCTCTTGTCCCAAGACATTTGTCCTAGGTGTCTCATAGTTAACTGAGTTTCTCCATGGACTGAGTTAAGGTAGTGACTGGTCCAGATGGTATAGCATTTTTCTACAGTGGTGAATGCTTAGTGTAGGGCAGAAGAGTTTGGTAATTGTCCAGTTCAGTAGGAACTTCATCATTCTCTATTGGTAGAAGATGCCAGTACACCCATATGTGTTCTAAAGTGAACCAGTGTGTTTAAAGAGCTATTCTTTCTGGTTTGGATGAAGGCTTCTTTCTTAAAGGGGATTTCTTGAGCTGCGGCATTCAAAGATCAGTGGTGAAACCTTTGTGAATGACTTGGCCTGAGAGCCTACTGCGCTGAGTGCCACTCACACCCAGCCATGCCCTGCATTCTCATTGGCCTTTGTCAAATGAGTCCCCTCTGCAGTGAGAACAATATAGGCACAGTTCAGGCTGTGACCTTTTCAGTAGCTTACCTCCTTGCAGAGGTCAAGTCATCCAGTCATGAGGTCATTTGCATTGCGCCCACATTGTACTTCATGCCTTGTGACAATAACAGGCCGAGTTGGTCACTTTATTTTGAGAACATTCTCTGCTGCAATTATGCTTCTGTCTCATGACTTGAACCTGGAAGCAAAGAGGGAATCCTAAAGAAGTCCCAGAGGGCCCAACCAAGCTAAAGTGATGTTCTCAACGACCTAGGCATACAGCACTTCATTCCTAGGATTCTTTACCTTGTCTGGCCACAGCTGAGACAGTGTTGGTCTCTCACAGCTATCCTTTCATTTGCACTTGCTTTGAATTCTTCTTCTTCTTCTTCTTCTTCTTCTTCTTCTTCTTCTTCTTCTTCTTCTTCTTCTTCTTCTTCTTCTTCTTCTTCTTCTTCTGGAAGGCAGGAAATCAGGCACTTCTGAAATTTCTGACTGACAGCTGCAATAAGTTGGGTTTTGTATTTATGTAATTTCAGAACTTTCTTGGAAGAGCTCTCTGGGTGGTTTGTTTTAGTGGACTTGCACCTTTGTCATCTAGTAACCTTTATGTTACTATGTCGAAGAGTAGGAATTTCATGGTTTTTTTTTCTTTCTTTTTTTTTTTTCTTTTGGTTTGCAAGGCAGGGTTTCTCTGTGTAGCCCTGGCTGTCATGGAACTCGCTCTGTAGACCAGACTGGCCTCAAACTCACAGAGATCTACCTGCCTCTGCTTCTTGAAAGCTGGGGTTTTAAAAGTGTGTACTACCACTGCCCTGCTCAAATTTCATGTTTCCTTATTGGCAAGAAATAGTGACTGCCAATGGCAGACTTCTGGGTGCTCTATAAGCCAACCAATGCCTGGTCAGCCCTTCTGCCTCTGGCATGGGTGAAAGCCACTCTTCTAGTGAGGTCCTTTTGAGCTGAGGTGTGTGAAGGCTGATGCTGTTGGAAATGTTGTGAGTGGCAGTGGCCGAATGGCCTGCTATACGGATCACCAACAATGCTCAGCTGTGTTCTTTGTTCCCGGTGCCCTTCAGAATGGTGCCCTCTGCGTTGAGAATGGTATGGACAACTAGAGAAAGAAGCTTCTAGTCTTTACTGCTTGGATATTTCTTACACCTCAGTGAAGTTTTTGTTTTGTTTTGTTTTGTTTTTTTACCATTTTTATTTTTCTTGCCTTCCAAATCAGAGCTCAAAGTCCAAAGGTGAAGGGCAAGTACCAGTGCATTCTTGTTCAGGCTGGAGTCTTGTTCATCTGTGCACTGTCTGAACATGGGGCCTTGCCCTTGCTTTGCAGGTATCTGTGGTGCCATGGGCCCAATGTGTGGAACCTGCTGCACCATCTAAACCAGTTTGAGAATGTACCTCTGATTGGGAATTGTAGGCCTAATGCTGGTTTAATCTGTGTTTGTGGTGGGTAGAGATTTTGGATCAGATGTGAGTCTCAACAGAGATTATTGTGGTCTTGAAACAGTGTGATTGAGCTTTGGGTATATAGCTTAGCAATAGGGTGCTTGCCTTTCATGCACCAGGACCCAAGTTTGATCCCCAGAACCACCACACACACACACACACACACACACACACACACACACAATGTGAAATCAAGTACACCTAAGTATTCCTTGGACAGAGACCTCTGCCTCCTCTTGAGTTTGCCAGTGGCTGCTGGGGCAGCAGAAATTACCTGCTATCTGCCCCTTTCCTTTCTTCTTCCTCTTCCTCTTCCTCTTCTTCTCCTCCTCCTCCTCCTCTTCCTCTTCCTCCTCCTTCTCCCTCCCTCCTTCCCCTCCTCTCCACTCCCCTCTCTCTCCTTCTGCCAGAAGGCAGGATATTAGAAAGGGTATAATTTTTAGGCCTGAGAAATAGTCAATGTTCTTATGAGATGGGTCAGGGTTCTAAGCCACATCTGAAAGCCAGGTATCAACGAGAGCGGTTCTCTTTGATTAGAGAAGTTTGCCTTGAAGGTAATCTCTGAGTGGATCATGGATGTCCTGCATTGGGAGGCTAGACAGTTTAATTTCTTCCAATGCTCTAAGGCTTGCAAGACACCCTGAGACCAATGCTAAAGGAGGTCTTACAGCTATAGAGGAGGGAGACCCAAGCACAGCGAGCACCTTGATGAACACAATCCAAGATACTAAGAACCACCATTGATTTTTTTATCCAGACTGCAAACTGTTTTCTATCAGGGACTTGTTTAACTCCTACATAAACATTGTGAAAAAGACAGTCATCTCAGTTTTCACCTAAGGAAATAGGCTTAGAGGTGTTGAGTGACTCACCCAGAGCCGCAAAGCTTGGAACTGGAGATCTGGGGATAAGAACCAGGGACTGGCTGACTGTAAAGCCGAGGTTACTTTCAGCAGCCAGTCTCTCTTCCTAAAGCATAGTCTCGCACTCAGCTCCACAGTGTAGACACTCAGAAGTAAAGACAAGATATGGGTTTGTCATCCGTGCCTATGAATCTGAGCACTTTTCACAAGTGCCCTTTGTTACTTCATGTGACACAACTTTTATCTGATACTTCTTCCCCCAATGAAGTTATTGCTCTTGGGGCTGGAAATGGGCCATGTTTTTTAGACACAGATATCAGTTATAGGGTGTGAATTCTTATAGAACATTTGGTGATGTTTAAGTCATTTGATAATCATAAAACAAAATACCATAGTTGTCCTGTCTTAACTCCAAGCCACACCCACAAGGAAAAAAGAAATTGTCTTTCCAAAGATGTGCTGTTACTTTCATGTCCCCCGAAAGTCTATAGTATCATTTTTTTGAGTAATTATGGGAAATTGCATTCAAATGCCATAGTATAAATTGGGCTTCATTACCTGAAAAAAATGTTAGTAGATTTTCAAGTCCTTATGTTAGTGAACAATGAATGCTCACTAAACAAGAAATAGGCAGTTGGCCCATGGCGCACATCTCATGAGCAGACCACATGCATGCTGGGAAAGGGCTCTGCTCTGCCACCTGACAACCACAAGAAAATATATGTGTGGTAGATACTTAGTAATCCAGTCTTAAATCGATTTCAGAGTGTCCAAAATCAGAACTAAAAGAAGTGTCACACTTGCTGGCTTAGACCCTGTTCCATGCACTTTTCCCAGGTTACTCTTTGCTTGTGTTAATTCCTCTTGGGAATCAAAGGTAGGAATGAAAAATAATTTCTCTGGGTTCTCATAATGAATTATAGGCCCCAAGTAGACATTGTAAACCATAGTTGATCTTCCATGTCTGCAACCTGCACATCTATGGACTCAGTCACA